GCCGTGCCCGGCCGGTGCCCTCCGTTCCCCTGGGGTTGGCACAGACGGCGGCCCCGGAGAATCAGCCCGGTCTCTCCCCTTCTCACGGCGCTGTCCTCGGGAGGTGCCCGGGCAGGAGGGGCAGGACGGCATCGGGCAGGGCGGGGAGCGGCAGGTGCGAGTCTGCACAGGTACCTGGGGCGGCCTGAGCCGGGACCTTGCTCCTCCTGGCCCGTGTCCCATCGGTGCCCGATGCTGCTCTCCCAGCTCCCGTGGGGCAGGACCCCGGGCATCGGCAGCCGAACGCCGGTGGAGGGGGGACAGCGGGGTCCGGGGTGGATGGGAGCTGCTGGCACGTGTCTGAGCAAGGTTCCCCGGGGAGAGGGAATGTACGTGCAGGAGCCGGGCCAGAAACAGACGCAGGGCTCTGGCAGTGCCGGCTGAGCTGACTCACCGGCCCGGCTCCAGCAGCAGCGCCGCACCTCCACACGGTGGGTCCCTGACCTTCTCTGGGGAGCAGGGTCTGAGGGCTTGGGGACATGTTTTCTGTTCAGCACGGTGCAGGATTGGGCCCCGAGCTCTGGCGGTCCCAGTGCCATGGGGCAGAGGACTGGGGAAGGCTGTGGCTGTGCTTTGGGGTCTGCATTGTGTGCCAGGGGGGAGCAGGGTGGCCTGGTCTGGGTGCTGTGCATGCGGCAGCGACCCTGAGCACCAGGAGAGAGGGCAGCAATGCCCATCCCCGGCCCCGGCATGAGCCTGCAGCCGGGAACGAGGGGCTGCTTGTGCCCACAGCAGGTGGAGGTGGGAGCAGGGCTGGTGGGAGCAGGGGGCTTGTGCAGAGGGTCCCACCCTGCAGGGCAGAGGGACAGCCGTGCCGGCAGTGGCTGCAGCCCCAGCCAGAGCCATTGGAGGTGGCCGAGAGCAGGGATATGCTGGATTTATGGCCCGTCTCATGATGTGTTTATGGTTGGGATGGGGCAGCCACAGATGCAGCCCAGCCCTGCCCTGCACTGCACGGCAAGTCCCTGCTCTGCATCCTGGTGCCAACAGGGTGGAGGTTCACAGATGGACTTTGCTCTTCGAGGTGGAGCTCCCCAGGGCTCTCCCTGGCACTGCTGCCATGTCTGCCCACTGCCGGGCAGCTCCACAGCTCCTTCCCTGTTTGCTCCACAGGCAGTGACCCAGCAGGGACCCCGTGGCGGGGCAGGGTCCTGTCCTGTCCTGTCCAGTCCTGTCCGGTCCTGTCCGGTCCTGTCTGGCCCTGGCGCTGCTTTGGTGCTGAGCCCCCCGCGTCACGTAGCAGCCACCACAGAGCAGGTACGCTGACCCCTTTCCTCTGCCAAACCTGCGCCATATTCAGGGGTGGAGCTGAGCTGGAGTCTGCTCCACACCTCTCCTGTGCCATCGGCAGGGAGTAGGGATACCTGAGCCCTGGCTATGCCGTCCGGCCCCCGGGCTGGCAGATGTCGCCTCCAGGAAGGTGTTTGTCCTATGGCAGGATTGTGGGGGATATGGGGGTTCAGGATATGTCCCTGGTCCCCAGAGCATCACCTGAACAGCTCCTTCCCCCCAGACAGGGGCCGGAGAAGGGACTCTGCTGCCCGCCAGTGCCGCTCAGGGAGCCAGGGCAGACGGTGCCTCTCCCCATGGCAGCCAGGCCCCCACGTAACGCCAGCCAAACTGGACACCCCGGTCCCACGAGAGACCCTCCCCAGCCAGAGCCCACCCGCCTGCCAGGTCCAGCCCAGCCCGGACTCACCTGTCACTGCCTGTCCCCACAGCAGCCCCGTGTCCCCCCGGTCAGACACGGGCACACGCCGCGATGCCGCGACCATCA